GCCAGTCTTTTAGGGTTTGTCTCTACCAGCTTTGCACATTTAGAGACTGAAATCCTTGCCCATTCTTCTTGGCAAAACAGCTCCAGCTCAGTCAGATTAGATGGACAGTGTTTGTGAACAGCAGTTTTCAGATCTTGCTACAGATTCTCGATTGGATTTAGGCACCAGACAGGTCAGGGATAAAGTTATTGAGAAATTTAAAGCAGGCTTAGGCTACAGAAAGATTTCCCAAGCCTTGAACATCCCACAGAGCACTGTTCAAGCAATCATTCAGAAATGGAAGGAGTATGGCACAACTGTGAACCTACCAAGACAAGGCCGTCCACCTAAACTCACAGGCCGAACAAGGAGAGCGCTGATCAAAAATGCAGCCAAGAGGCCCATGGTGACTCTGGACGAGCTGCAGAGATCTACAGCTCAGGTGGGGGAATCTGTCCATAGGACAACTATTAGTCGTGCACTGCACAAAGTTGGCCTTTATGGAAGAGCGGCAAGAAGAAAGCCATTGTTAACAGAAAACCATAAGAAGTCCTGTTTGCAGTTTGTCACAAGCCACGTGGGGGACACAGCAAACATGTGGAAGAAGGTGCTCTGGTCAGATGAGACCAAAATGGAACTTTTTGGCCAAAATGCAAAACGCTATGTGTGGAGGAAAACTAACACTGCACATCACTCTGAACACACCATCCCCACTGTCAAATATGGTGGTGGCAGCATCATGCTCTGGGGGTGCTTCTCTTCAGCAGGGACAGGGAGGCTGGTCAGAGTTGATGGGAAGATGGATGGAGCCAAATACAGGGCAGTATTGGAAGAAAACCTCTTGGAGTCTGCAAAAGACTTGAGACTGGGGCGGAGGTTCACCTTCCAGCAGGACAACGACCCTAAACATAAAGCCAGGGCAACAATGGAACGGTTTAAAACAAAACATATCCATGTGTTAGAATGGCCCAGTCAAAGTCCAGATCTAAATCCAATCGAGAATCTGTGGCAAAATCTGAAAACTGCTGTTCACAAACGCTGTCCATCTAATCTGACTGAGCTGGAGCTGTTTTGCAAAGAAGAATGGGCAAAGATTTCAGTCTCTGTGCAAAGCTGGTAGAGACAAACCCTAAAAGACTGGCAGCTGTAATTGCAGCAAAAGGTGGTTCTACAAAGTATTGACTCTGGGGGCTGAATAATTACGCACACCCCACTTTGCAGTTATTTATTTGTAAAAAATGTTTGGAATCATGTATGATTTTCGTTCCACTTCTCACGTGTACAGCACTTTGTGTTGGTCTTTGACGTGGAATTCCAATAAAATTGATTCATGTTTGTGGCTGTAATGTGACAAAATGTGGAAAAGTTCAAGAGGGCCGAATACTTTTGCAAGCCACTGTATATCTACTGGCATATATCAAAGTTTCTCTCCTGCTCTGATTTCCTCATGAAGGGCATAATTTTCGTTAACTTGAGCATTTTAGAAGCTGTTACCTTAAATAATAAAACCTCATTAAAAATTTAGGCTGTCTGTGATTTGTGCTCCAGGCCATTTTGAGTGCAGAAAATCCAGAAGAGCCGTACTTGGGTGGCATCAACTACAACTGTGTAGCACCAGGGAAACGCTTCATGTCCATGGACAACCTGTCTGGTGGAGAAAAAGCCATCGCAGCCCTTGCTTTCATATTCGCCATACACAGGTAACACTGAAGTCACCCCATGGTAGAATACATGAAAAATGTGTTACATATATTAAATGTATTCTTTTCAGTGAATTATAGTTTAAGGTCAAAGAAAACCCTGTTTTTTTATTTTAATAAATGTATGTCGCTTGTTAAGCTGCAGAATAATCATGTTAAATAATAAACTACTATTGACCAAAATAATGTGATTATGGTTTTTGAGCAGCCCTAGTGATCAGTATTTGATTATGTTGACTGACACAAAGTGATGCCATATTCCTGACCCACGTTCCCAGTATACTGTGTCTGTTCTGTTTCCTTCTCTCAGCTTCCGGCCTGCTCCTTTCTTAATCTTGGATGAGGTGGATGCAGCCCTGGACAACACTAACATTGGAAAGGTAAGAGTCAAGCTGCATAAACATTCACTATTAATATCCACCACTGGGACAACCCAGTATCCCGGCAAAACGTGTAATAGACACACCAGTCCACCGTGTCTATTTCACGCTTTGCCTTTCAAGACGTGAAATCGACACGGTGGACCAGTGTGTATATTACATGTTTAGGCGTGATTTGGAGTTGGCTGGAAACTATTAATATATTGATTATATCCATTGATCAACCTCAGGAAAAAGTGTCACCAATCTTCTCCATGATTGTGGTTGTGGGTACGGAACTTGACCCACAGATACACACTACTGGTACTCTTTGAATAGTAGCCTGTCAGACTGAAGACTAGATTTAAAGGACTATTCAGTTTGGCACAGAAGCACCTTAATGCAGAACTGCTTGACCTGCACTGTGGATGGGACATAATTATGCTAATAACTTATTCTTAGTTGTAAGAAGCAGTGACATAAGCTGGTGTTGGATTGGGGGATTGGATTGGGGGCTTCTAATAGAAAGGGATGCACTGCAGCAGGAGAACCATGTATTATTATTCAGATTATATTATTTTTGTATATTTACCAAATACATTTTGCCTACTGCATTCTGAAAGGAAACTTTTGTGGGCGATATATCAAGTGCAAATATTCACTGTCTCCAGGTGACCAGTTTCATCAGAGAGGAGTCCAGGGAGAACATGCAGATCATCATCATCTCTCTCAAGGAGGAATTTTTCTCCAAGGCAGACGCTCTGCTGGGCGTCTATTCAGATGTAACATAGCTTTCATTAATTATGAAAATTAGTGAAGAAGTTTAAATTCCTACAATGCCAGGCAATAGAGTCATTATTCTTTTGTGTTTGGCAGTTTGATGAATGCATGTTCAGCTGCGTTCTGACCCTAGACCTGCGTCCCTATCCTCTGGTTGAAGATGACAATGGGAAACAGACTGACAAAGAGACCAGCTCCGACAAAAGGCAGGATTGAGCTTTGCAGGAATCAGCTGCATGAAGCCATTATGTTTTCTTCTTGTCTAGTGGCCTGTTGCATTGTTTAATGGATGTGGTTGTTTCTTAGTGTTCTTCTATTTTGACTACACAGAGGAACTGTCCAGACTAAATGTGCAGGCAGTGGAGTTATCTTGGATATCAAATGATGAGCTTTATGTTTGACTGTTTTAGAGTCGTTCTTGTTCTTTAAAGTAATTGCAATTCACTGAATATTTTTTTTTCAGATAAATTTTGACCTCAAGTTATGTTTATGAGAAGGTTGTGTGTTTTAATTTGCTTACAAAGCAAAGTTTTTAACTGAGGTGAAAAATGAAAGAAGAAGAAAAAACCCTTCATATAAAATGTAGCAACCACACATTACAGCCTTTGAAGGACTGTGTTTATGTGCTTGTTCTCCCATTAGGCACTTTGAAGTTATTGGTGTAAATGTTACCACTGAAGTTGGAAAATGCTCTGTTCATTAAATCCACCAAGTTTAATAAGTGTGATGTGTTGCTGTTATATTTTCAGCCTTTTTTAAAAAGTGTTTCCCATTTAAATGCAACAAATTCTGCTTTACTACCCATTACCCAGTACCATTGTGGATTGAGTTATGATAAAAGCATAATATCGTTGTTTTATATTATTTGCCATGTACAAATTACAGAGCCCATGAAGGTGCATAAGGTGATATTACCCAAACGCAAACTCACAGAGACAAAAAGTAAACTCAAAAAACACAGCTTTATTGCTGGCGTGGGACACGAAAAACAATACTAAACTAACGAAAGCACAATGAGCCACAGGGAAAAATCACACAGCTATGAGGGAGGACGCAACACTGACAAAGAGAAACATGGGACTTAAATACACTGAGGGATAACGAGGGGGAATGAGCTACAGGAGGAGAGCACAGCTGAGAGTAATTAGGCAGGACAAGGCAAGGGAAGCAAAACTAGAAACATTAACATAGGACAGACTGTGAAAGTAAAACAGGAAACACACTGACGGAACTCAAGATATGTAAACTTAACAGACTGGGGAGACAGAACATAAGGACCTGAAACATGGAACAGAAAGGCACAGTAGATACAACATGAACATAACGCCACAGGGGAAGAGTAAAACTGAATGCAGGAACACAGGACCTCTTTCAAAATAAAATGGGAAACCTAATGAAACGCAAACATGACAACATAACACAGACATGAAGCACGTGAAGGACAAGGGAGACTTAACGGGGTTGGATACACAAGGGGAATCTAATAACAAATGAACTTAGATAACCTAATGAACAAAATAAACTCAAAACTTAAAACGCTGGGTCAAAAGACCCAGGATCATGACAGATATTTTGTCTACTGCAGACAAATTATTTGTGCTAATAAGATGTAGTGTAGAAGATACTGTGATATCAACCTCCTGACCATCTGTCGCATTAATATGCAAATAACTTATTATGTATGCACAGGATAGATACAGTCATAACATAATTTTAGTGCTAAATTGAATTTAGGATGCACACAGCTACCATATAATTGAGAACACAGCAATGTGTTTTATATTTTTGTGATTCACTGAAATTCTTGCTGATTCAACATTAAGACACAATTTACTGTAGATATTAAAAAGTAGCAAAGTGTTAAAGACTCCATACTGCATAGCTTGAAAAGCAATGAGACCTGGTTATAAAAAGATCTTAATAATAGTGAGGTGGAAGTAAAGGTTGTAGCTGAGTAGCTGAGTTATTTCTGTGATGGCTGTTTGCATCTGAAAGTATTCACAGTAAACTACAAAATAAATAACTTGAAATAAAAAATAGCACTTTGTAGGGGCTCCACTGACATTTTTTGTTGAGATACAGTCTTGTTTACGCAGAGCCTTAGACATAAATATACGTACAATAAGGCTGTATATGCGACCTGGCCACCAGTAGGGGGCGGTAATATTGAGCACTTTACAGCTAAGAAGCAGACCCCGTGATCACTATTTACGGAAGTGTATCCTCGTTTCGAATTGAAGTCTGCTCACAGGCATTTTTGTTGTGCTGTCATGCAGATATTTCTTAATTATTCAGAGCTAAATCGCTACATTGAAAAACATTTGCTCGGGATTCATTTATCAAACGAGCTTCCGGTAACCCCGTTTGTAACACATCCTAGCTGGCAATTAGTAGCTAGCCTAAACCGGTGAGCCCACAGCCCTTTTACTTCCTCTGGTCCTACATACTTGGTCCAGTAGTTATTTAGGGTCCGTTTGTAGACCGTATGAACTCTGCACAAACTGGTTTTTGAAAACGTTAACTGAAGCTAACTGCTAGTTTGCTAACCTAACGTCAGCACCATGGGAGCGGAACAGAGCGGAGATGCGGAGCACAAACATTCCGATTACAGCTCATCAGGTAAGGCTGTCTGCCGTGGTGGTTTTCTCTGTTAAGGTTAGTTTTAATGAAAAGTAAACCGAGCTGAGGTTAGGATTATATGTCAAGCCACCTGCACCAACAGTCATCGGTATTACAAATCCTATTTGCGTTCACCCTCCAGTAGTAGCATCACTACTAGTAGTATACATATAATAATGAAAGTCCTGCTGTCAAATTGTGTGGGTACTGAGCTTTTTAAAAGTTACACATATTCCACATGTGCTGTGCTTCAGATTTGGTTTTCATTACATTTCTGTCGTTGCAGTGGTGCCATCTCCAGCAAAACAGAAGGCAAAGATGGATGATATTGTGGTTGTGGCTCAGGGGACTCAGTCAATGCGAAATATCCACAACGACCCAGATGTCATCAAGCTTCAGGAGATACCTACATTTCAGCCGCTTTTGAAAGGTAACGTTTAAGTCTCCGGAGTGCTGTCACGGATTTTTGTTTGGCACTTTAAGAGACTGTAAAAGAGGATCTGGGTATAGGGTTTTAGTGGCGGGTGCTCATATTAAATATGGCCAGAGTTTAAAACAAGCAGTATACCACCCGGTGTGCTGCTGCATGGTGGAGTAAACACAGGGCAAGATTGACTCATGTCCCATACCCAAGTCAGTTTTGGACCGATTTCAATTAAATGAAATAAAAATACAGTACCAGATCTTTGCATTCCTATTTACAAGGACTGATGTTGTGCCAAAAAAGTGATTTCTGTGTTTCTTATATCTTAACTTATATTGGTAAATACATGGTATGTTTATAATTACCTTAATTTTACTACATGTGTAAAGTGTAAAGTAAAGTGTGCGTGTTAGTCCCCATAGGGAAATAGTTCCTCTGCATTTAACCCATTCACCCAGTGAAGCAGCGGGCAGCCGCCAGTGCAGCGCCCAGGGAGCAGTGTGTAGGGACGGTACCTTGCTCAGGGGTACCTCAGGGTAGCCGTTCAGTGGAGTCGAACCCCCGACCTTCCGATCATAGGGCCACCACTCTACCTACTGAGCTATCCCTGCCCCCTTTGTAGTTAATCTAGTTCTTTTTGGTGACCCAAAGTATGTTTAAAGAACTATAATGATATATTTGATACATGTCTCAACTCTGAATATTTTTATATATTTTATTTATTGTTTACTCTATTTAATTTGTAAAATATGTGTACACACACACACACACACACGTAGAAAAATATTTAGTATACACATCCAGAAATGCATATACTATTATATATTGTACATATATTTATTAGTTTCAGATGTAGCCATTCTTGTATTTTGCTTGTTTACATTATTGTTTTTTGCACAACTCTGTTGCTTGTGAAGCTCGCACACAAGAATTTCACTCACATGTGCTGTACCAATGTACCTGCACATGTGATGTGACAATAAAAGTGATTTGATTTGATATTTGTTACAATTTCTCTCTCTTAAAGATATATAGATAGATATAGAGGTTGCACAGGTGGTCCAACTCCTCCACGTTGGTTCGTCAATACGTGCCTTTGCCAGAGGGTTTGCTGTGTTTCCCAGCACAGTCTCAAGAGCATGGAGGAGATTCCGGGAGACAGACTCTTACTCTAGGAGAACTGGACAGGGTTGTAGAAGGTCCATAACCAATCATTACTGCCAGAGCTGCAAAATAACCTCCAGCAGGCCACTGATGTGAATGTCTCTGAAAAAACAATGCGAAACATACTTCATGATGGTAGCCTGAGGGCCCAGCATGTTCTAGCGGGCCCTGTGCTTACTGCTTGGCACCGTTGGCCATTAAATACCCGAATTGGCAGGTCCATCTCGTAGTGTACCTGCTCTCATCTGTGAAAAGATGAGAGCAGGTACACTCCGAGTGCATGTGACAGCAACCTCACTCCCATTGGGTATCGGAATAAAATCCTTGGACTCACTGTCAGACCCTACGCTGGTGCACTGGGTCCTGGAAATAATTGATGTAAATAACAGAATATGCATTTAAATGCATCCGTAGCACAATATATGACCTATGTTGTATTTTTACATTTATCAAGTGGCAGCAAATCCAATTTGGTGCAATGTACACGTTAGCTGAAATACATAGACTGCATAGTGACCACAGTTTTTATTTAGTTATTTATTTTTTGCTTGATTGAAAAATAGAAAACTAAATAACTTCGCACTGCAACATTAGCTGTAAAGGCAGTGTAACAGTGTTTGGATTTCTGTGATCACCTGAGGTACGCCTTCATTACTCTCTTCAGATGTTTTGTCTGGCATCCTTCTTTTCAGTTTTCACATGTGCTGAGTTTTCATCTTGATTCCAATCAGTTCATTTTAAAATTCTGTGTAGTGGAGCTGAATGCCGCTGCAACCTATTAGCACTGTGTTAGAAGGCTGATAATGAACCAAAGTTCCTGTGTAGGCACACTCCTGAAATAGCAGCCTGCAAAGCTCTGTCACATCCTGTGCATTGCTAATTACTGTAATTACCAAGTGTTACACTGTTGTCAAGTGTTACCGTGTTCCTGCATGTTCAAGTAAGTCATTTTTTGGCTTTTCTCTCCACAGGAGTGCTGAGCGGCCAGACGTCACCCAGCAGTGTGTGTCTTGAAAGGTTGGACACCGCTCAGGTTCTGCAGCTCTGCATCCGGTACCAGGACCACCTACACCAGTGTGCTGAGGCTGTGGCTTTCGACCAGAATGCTCTTGTAAAGAGGATCAAAGAGGTAAGACTGTTTTTAAGTCCTTAAATAACTATATTAACTACATGGGATGTAAACATATTTTGTACCAGTACCATAAGCACTGCTGGCTGTTGTCACAGGCTGGCTGCTCTCTCTACAAGGGCAGATTTTTACTCCAGATTCTCTTTGTGACGCAGCACCAAAGGGATTTCCGTCTCCTCCCAGGACTGAGCCGTTTATCTCTTGCTTGTTGGGTGCATGTGTAAACCACTACACTATGGAGCCACTCACAAAGACCACAAACATGTTTAAATAAACTCAAAATATCCCAATTAAATATACAATATACAGTTAGATGGAACAAGTCTGCAGGGTGTGCACTTGCTAAATGGTAGGTGTGGAGGGTGTAAAACAGAAAGCACTAAGAAAAGGTCAGGGAGAAGACCAGGTGAGGAGAATGAGGCCATTCTGCAGATTTGACCTATAGCCATATAATCTCCATTAACTCAGTTGTGGGTGGGAATGGTCTGTTTTACTTAGAAAGTTTCCTAACTGAGAGAAGTGACTCAAATGTCCACAGGGCAGCTGTATTAAGAGCTGGACAGATTCCCTAAATACTCGGGAAAGGAGCCTCTGTGCTTTCTTTATTACCTCCTTTAACTAAAGACACAGTGGAATGTTCTTAATGAATAGATAAACAGTAATGCTGAACCACAATTCAGTGCAAGCACACAGCTGCTCACAAAAACAATAAACATGTACAAGTCTGTGCATTAAAATAAAATTGGGCCTCCTTATCAATCTAAAATTGTTACATATCGTAGAAGAAAAATGAAAAGAATATAAATAAATAATCAAATTAAAAGGACATTTTGGTTTTTTTCACCTCTGTTTACTCTATATTATTATTTTTATATTATTATTATTTATATATATATTATTTATATTATTATTTTTACTCAGTTGTATATAGTATTTGTATTCTATTTTTATCTTATTGTATATTTATTTTATTTTATTCTACTGTATATAGTATTTTATTTTATTCTATTCTGTACAGCTGTGTACTGTATTTATTCTTATTGTATTCTAATTTTTGCCTCATAACTTTTGCACTGTCCACTTCCTGCTGTGACAAAACAAATTTCCCACGTGTGGGACTAATAAAGGTTATCTTATCTTATCTGTTTTTCTGCAGATGGACATGTCGGTGGAAACCTTGTTCAGTATAATGCAGGAACGCCAGAAACGGTATGCCAAGTACGCCGAGCAGATCCAGAAGGTCAACGAGATGTCCATGATCCTGAGACGCATCCAGATGGGAATCGACCAGACGGTGCCGCTGATGGAGCGCCTCAACAACATGCTGCCTGAGAGTGAACGCCTGGAGCCCTTCAGCATGAGGCCTGATGGGGAATCCGTCACCAAGTAGACTCTTGAAAATAAACACAGCTGCTTCCTACCTGAGTCTCCGTGCAACTCTCCATCCAGGAGGAACAGCAGCTCTGTCCAGCTGGAGAGAATCTAAGACTTGTAACATTTAAAGAGGCCTGCAGCTTGGCTGTGTGCGATTGCAGCTGCTTGGGTTCGTTCTCCAAGTCACAAACAATTATGTGTATTCTTTTATTTATTGCAGCCGGGTTTGCTGAACACACATGCCAGTAATCAATAGATCAGCAAATACATTTTCACACCTGCAAGCTATCCTGATCAATAACCTTCTGGGTGCATTCATAGGTACACGTGACACGTGACCCAAGGGAATCAAGCTGGGAGTTGTTGAGATGTTTTGCATGTTTTAAAGATTCTGATATGAATGTGAGCAACATAAAAACATCTAAAGCTGCTGATCTGGAGGTTTGTGGACAGCCTCCTAACACTTGCCACCTGCTCCATAATTTGTGATGCGTTAGTTTTGGATCGTTACAAATGTGTGTTTGTAATCATGATGTTTGAGTTACTTTGTCATCATATCCCATCCTGGAAGTGCTTGTGTGCATTCTTTGCAATGTTAAAATTTCATTTTGGGATATAAAGAGCAAAAAGAAGTATTATTGCATAATGAGCATTGAAATTGTGCAGTGGAAGTAAAATCAGAAATCTTGTGTACTTGGGTTTTTGTGGGAAGGGAGACTTTAAATGGATACTTTTGCTTGAGCAGCTGTGACAAGCCTGTTCACAATCAAAATATGTGAAAAATAGAAAGTTTGGACTGTATATAGACGCTGATAGCTCAGGTTTCGTAAGGAAGGATAAAAACACGTAAATTGAGGTGGACACAAAACATTTGGATTCTGACTTCTGTTACAAAAAAGGCTTTCAGATCACTGCACCAAATGTCAGCATTAACTTTGACTGTTGGTCTGCACACCAAAGGTTTACATGCTGACCTGTTAATAAGCAGAAATGTAATAACAGTTTGCTATATTTTGATCTCTTTGGGGAAATTGATCAGGTTAACTTGATGGCTTCATCTACTGAGTAGTTGCCATGTTCGCTACCCTTACAGGGGATGGATTTGGGATTTTATGTGGTTTCATGTTCACTGCCTCTATTCTTTTTAAGAAGAGAAAGCAGAGAAAAAAGCTGTCAAGAAGACGTGCCTGTGTAACATGCTCTCAACAATTTATTTTCTTTTAGGTAGAAAATAGACACTTTTTCTCTTCTTGATGCATCACTGACCTTTGTGTGTGTGTAAATGCCAGTAAAACTAATTTAGAAATTGGCTTTAAGGTGGCCCTGAACACTTTGCAGCAGCTGTAGTGAGGACATGTTGGTCCACTAGGTGGTGCATGTATAACACATTTCACTGGCTGAGTGTCTCATTGCCCATAAACAGCTGTTTGAGTGTGGATGTTAGGACTTGAGAGTGAATGATTGTTAGCTTGTACATGCTCACTGTCACTGTAAAAATAAATAAAACAGCTTTCTCCTGCGAGGCCACCTGTTTTTATTTTTCATTCCTTGTGTCAGAGCTTCATTTGTGGTTAGAACAGAGTTTATAACACACTGATTTATGTCATATCCTTTTTAACAGTGATGGATGCTCATGTCTAACAGCAATGAAAACCTCAAGTTAAGATTAAAGCTTAGCTGCCCTCACTGTGCAGCCCTAGTGTTTTATTTACCCTGATCAACATTTGTAGTGCTTTAGAGCGATAACATTAGTTGAATCTGTTAATCACTTTTTAAAAGGGAATGTGAAATTGTCTTAATAATTTCGAAGTTTGTTGTGTCTGATAATAAATCGACTGTACTGAAGACTGCTGATAAATTACATTAAGCACTTAAAGACACCACTTTGGACTCTAATGTCTGTTTTTCGCAACTTTAATTTAATTTAATTTTTTACATTTAATCAATGATAATCCTAATCCTGCATGGGCAGGAAAGCATTAGGCAAAATAATGAATTAAGTGTTGTGAAGGCAGGAACTTCAATAATAATAATAATAATAAAAAACAAAACATATGTTACACCAATCACTAACAGAGCCTGTGGCATAAATGCTCAATCGACCAGCTTTAATAGATGCTACTTCTTTCCTGTGTTTTAATATCTGACTTTTAATCTTCTTTATTGTATAAAAAATCTCAGAAACAATAACAGCTTCCAATAACCTGCTGCTTTGGAGATTTTTGATTAGTGCTGTTTCAATTTTGAGCTGGACCAAAGCTAGTGGGCGAGTGTACCCATTTCCTGTTTATATTTCTCTGAGGAAGAGAAAACATTTCTAGGAAAATGGGCAAAAGTCTGGTAATTTAGGCTCTAAGCTCACGCATTTTACCTGGGTGAAAATGCATTAATGTCAGAAATGAAAAGAGATTGGCCTGACTGCTTCGAGCTTATGAGAAGGCAAAAGTAACTCACATAGCCACTTGTTACAACTGAGGTATGCAGATGGGCTACAACAGCAGAAGACCACACTGTGTGCCACTCCTGTTAGCTAAGAACAGGAAACTGAGGCTACTTTTCACACAGTCTCACAAAAATAGAAGACTAGAAATACATTGCCTGGTTTCCAAAGGTTTCTGTTCGTCTGGACGTAACGTTTTCAGTGGGAGAAACGTTTCGTCACTCACCCAAGTGACTTCTTCAGTCTGGTTTAATTTAATGAGTCTTGATTTCTGCTGCAACATTTGGATGGTAGGGTCAGAAATGTGCATAAATGTGGTAGTGATTTCTTGGCTCTCTTTGGCCACCAACTGAGCATCAATGAAACGTCACGGCCTACATGAGTATTGTTGCTGACCATGTCCAATGCCACAAAACTCAGTTAATCTCAAACTGGTTTCTTAGACATAATAATGACCTTACTGTACGCAAAGGACGTCCACAGTCAACAGATCTCAATCCCACAGAGCACCTTTGGGATGTGGTGGAACGGGCGATTCACATCATTGATGTGCAGCCACAAATCTGTGTGCTGTCATGTTAACATAGATCATGACAGCACACAGGCAAGTGACCCCAGGGAGGGGTCACTTGCCCCTCCCTTCCTTCCCTCCCCATCTCCAGCTGCCTCTCTCTTCCCGCTCCACCACAACCACCCACACATGCAGGGCCTTGGAGTAGGGGTATGTCACCAGGGTGCAGAGGAGGCTACCCCCCCCTCTGTCCCCTTCTGGCTGCCTCTGCCTCAATTTTATCCCACAACTTAGACATTCACATTACTCACACTCTCATTACACATACATATAGGATCTTGGGGGTGGGCACGATACACGGAGTCCAAATTACCATCAGGGTGTACACCCCACCCCTGGCATCGTTGCCCACCTCTCAATTTTAAATACACATAGACATTGAGGGCTAGCAGGAGGGACCATGCGCTTACCTGCTGCTCTCTGGCAGGTAGCTCCATGCCCTCCTGGGTTTTAAATGCACCTTAAAACACACATGCATCAACACTACAATGAGCGGGTGGAGGGAGGTTTGGAGTCTTTTCTCACCCCCGTTCTCTGCGACCTGCTGGAGCAGGGGGGCTAGGACTAGGAGGAGGAGTTGGCCGTCCGACTGCGGTCTGGAGTGTGGAGCCTTCCTGCTGCTGCGGAGTCGGGGCGGTCTGCCTCCCCCACCGCAGGGAAAAGGGAAACACCACCTGGGTCTGGGTGCAGTTCCCCCCTCCAGGGGCGGGGGCACCTAGACCCGGTTTGTAGAGTACGCTTGGGGAGTGTGATCGTGTGTACAACGTCTCTTTATGTCTGTCTCCACGTTGGTTGAGTGTGGAGTAAGTGCATATGAGAGCATGAGGGTGGGAATGGATGTTTGTATCTGTGTGTGCCTGTATGTCTGTGTCTATATGTCAGGTTGGGTGTCAGACGCCACCTCTCTGGGGACATCTCAGGCCCTCCAAGGTTTGGAGGCCTATCTCCCCCTACCACCACTTCCCCTGCCAGTGGCGGACCCCCTCAGACATCGGTGCGTTGGTGGTTCTTTGTGTCCGGGGATGGGCGTCCAGGTACACACCGGCTCACTCCTTGGCGGCCGCTTATCGGGGCCTGGAGCCTGGGGCTCGCTCGGGCCACTTCGGAGGTGGGGTGCCCCCGGCCTCTCGGCCTGGGGCTCGGTCACTCAGGCACGGCTGGCTGCCGGCGGAGCTCACGAGCGCGTCACTGCAACTCCCCCTGGCTTCTGCTCCGCGGCTGCTCAGTGAACCCTCATCTGGGACTCTCCTCAGCTCTTTCCGGGACAGTGGCGCGGCTGCCCCTCTGTTGGTCTTCCTTGGTCTCTTGTGTTCTGGGGGCCTCTGGATGTCTGGAGTTTTGATCTCCTCCATACCTGCTTCATACCCTGGAGGACGGGGCTGTGGCCCCCCCACACCCTCTAGCAGATCATTACATGAAGGAACCTTTTTTAAAAAAAAAACAAGCGCGTCCATGCTCACAGGTGTACACACGGGTGATCACACCCACAAACTACACCCTTTTTGGCTCCTACCTCAAAGCACACTGTGTTCTGTTGATCTTATGTGCTGCACAATAATGTTTAATATTTAGTATTTACTGTCATATTCCCATATATCATTGTGATGTTGTTTATTCTATTACTCTTGTTCTCTTCTGCTTTTTTTCTTTTTTCTTTCTCAGCAGGTGATCCAGGTGATTGATATATGCTTTTTTTTCTCTGCCCGTTCTGTTGGTTTTTGTTTTTTGCCCTTCTCCCCCGTCCCTCTTCTCAGCTGTTTCTCTTTCCCTCTTTCTTTCTCCCCTTCTTTCCCCCAGTCAAGTCTGTCCCGTATTCAGTAAGTGAAAATAAAATAAACAATAAAAGGTGAATCAAATGGACCATTACGGCAAGGCTGGGATGGTCAGTTTGGTAAAGTAAATCCGTTGGGCATCTTTCTTTGCCTTTAGACAACAATTCTGATGACAAAAGAGCCAAACAGGACAGGCAAAAAAAAAAAAAAAAAAAAAAAAAAAAAAAACATAGATCGAAATCTCTGAGGAATGTTTCCAGCATCTTGTTGGATCTGTGCCGCACAGAATTAAGTCAGGTCTAAAGGCAAAAGAGGATCCAACCAGATACTTGCAAGGTATACCCAATAAAGTGGCTGGTGAGTGGACAGAATGTACACTGTTACAGTGGCAGTGCCCACATTCAATCCCAAATAATGACATAAAAATATTTGCAAGGAAACTCCGTGAGCCTTAGACTACAGGCTGCCCCAAACAGTTTTCCCCACTGCCAGACCTGTATGGTAAAAACACTGATTCTCTAACAGTCGAACACAGATGGGTGCATTAGAGAGCATCTTGCCCAAGGGTACTACAGCGGAAAGTTCAAATCAGTTTTATTTATATAGCGCCAAATTGCAACAACAGTTGCCTCAAGGTGAAGATGAAGATCCTAAATAAAGAGAAAACAGCCAAAACTCCATCAATCATAAGACTCAGTATTAGCACTTTGGTGACAGTGGAAAGTGAAAAATATCCCTTTTAACAGGAAGAAACCGCAGGCAGAACCAGGCTTCTGTTTATGAGCTGCAGCCAATCTAAAGAAAGATCAGAGTAACTCAAACTGCTTTTTTTCTGATAGTGAAAATCAAGGTTGAATAATAAGATAAACAGGGATTATTACAAACTTTAAATTACGACAAACTACTCTGGTAGAGTCCAAGAATAAAAATAAAGACTTTGAAATGAGAATAACAGGTTCTCTTTAGCACATGTCTGACAGTAGTTGAAGAGCATACTAAGAACAATTTCCTGACATTGTTCCTGTGTTTTGATATGGCTGTCAGCTTACTGTATTTTGTATTGACTGTGCATGTATTGTACTAAATTTTAATATGTATTTCTACTACTAAAGCATGAAAAATAGAAAGGAACAAATCTGTTGGCGCCCTTGGCTGGTCCTCAGAGTTACATAGGGTGCTGTGGTATCAACTTGCAGCTTCCTTCGTGTGTGCTTGGATGAGCAACATCACAGAAGCCTGGAAGCCTGGTGATTCCCACTGGGGTTTACACCACATACGGACCAAACTTAAAGACTAAATCAGAATCAGTGATTAAAGGATGTTGCCTCAGAAAAAGCTCGCTGCTAATGGCGAGTGGCTGGTGGTCGGGTTTTTTTTTCTTCCCCCCTTGAGCCAGTGTGGTCTGATTAGAGTTCTTGTGTATGTTGTTGAATTTTTCATCAGCGTATAAACACCCCAAACTCAATTACACCTACAAAAGGATCCTCCTCCGGCTGGATTGCTTTGAGGTGCAGAATTAGCGCAGTTCGTTGACATATGGTACATAAGGCAGAGACAACTTTTCTGTTTGAATTTAAAGTAGAACTCCTTTGATATGTTATCGCCTTTCATGTGTAAATTCAAATGGGTTAAAAAATGTCTTAAATGGCCGTGGGGGTATTGTTTGAACATTGGAACAGAAATGGAAATTGTCATTGCATTTATGCAGCAAGGAGGTGTAAAAGTTCCTCCAAGTCT